CCCCAAAACCCCAAAACCCCAAAACCCCATTAGAATGACAAAATATGAATTAATTAATGCTTGAATGAGGAAAAATTTAATTAAATTCGTTAAAATATTCAAACATATATATCTCTTCTATAATCCTATTGAGGCACTCCAATTATGGAGCTATGAAAACTTTACCCCTGACTATTAAAATCTGCTTCTTCCTCTAATTAGGCATAACCATCTGTCTTTCTCACCATTTAGATGAACTTATCAAGCTCATTCATCAGGTTCATTTTAATCAAACTTTAATCATCTAATCCCCTTATCATAAAGTCTTTAACCAATATAAGACTAGCAACAGACCTCTTTTAATCAACAAGCCATTATTTTATATCCTCATCAATAATGTTTTCATTGCATGTTTTGACAACTATTAGCAAGTCTTTTTGAATGCTTTCTTAAAGAAAGTCTATATTCTCTAGAATGTAGATCATAGTGTGTATCGAATAGGGTCTTTAGCTAATTACATAGTGCACTCTAACTAAATCATCTTTCCTTATTTATGGATCATCCATAGGCAAAAGCATCGATTTAATAAGCTCTTATTTCGTATTATGAGATTAATACTTGATTGAACTGAAAAACTATTTGGAGAAACTCGAAGAAATAAAACTCTATAATCCATCATACCATCTTTCAGCTTTCAAAACTTCGCAGACCAATTTGATGTGCTGCACTTTCCAAAGAAAGTTTAACATCGGAGAAATAATCACTTGCAACAACGGAATTGATTTCTGATGAATTACGAGTAAGAATAGGAGTATCTCATTAAACTAACCAGAAGTTGTTTCTCCAACATCATTGTCTGGATCTAGTTATACCTCCTTAGATAAATTAAATCTGTACCTTGTGATGATTTATATAAAGAGATTCATATTTTTATATCCAAAAGCCTATAATAATGGACCCCAATGAGAGGTCTCTAAAATTGTTGAGAACTGATCACTATGTAAAATCTCCATTTGTAATGGCTAGTTTTCTCTAGCTCTATTGAAATTTTTACCATCTATTGTATCCAATAGGGCTTCTATTTTATCTAATGCCTTATCTCTGCATGCAGTGAGTAAATCATTGTAATAATGCTCAAATTCCTTATCCTTGTTAAGCATTCCTTCTGCAATATATATCTAGAATTGCTTAAAGTTGTTTACATTAAAAAGCTTCTCGGTTTAACTTAATTCTTTGATAAATGGTTATAGATCAGTTATTTAAAGTTCCCTGTTAAGGAAAACTATATCTGATCTGTATAATTTTGAGACAACTTATTTTAAAGTGTCATCCCTATTATCTGGTTTCAAATTGTAATAATGGCCCTTGATAATGTTAAAGAATGAAACACTGATGAATGGCTATGTTTTTAGATTCTCTACAATATCATTGATGAGTACTTGATCTCTTACCTTATCCAGAGTGTCAAATAAGGGATCAATAATCTCTTCCAACATTTAAAACCTTCCTTTAACGGTAAATGATCCATATAATGTCTTGAAAGTTTAACCTAGTAATACTGATCTTATCCCTTCTTTCCAAACTAACTCAATGAGTGTGCGAACTAAGTACTTCAATCTTTAGTAATTCCAATACTAACCTCTTTCATTTACAAGATAGTCAAAAACCTTAAAATTCTTTTTGTTAGCACATAATACGACCATATATATTTCTTCTAAATACTGCTCAATTTTGTTATTACTAGTACTAATCTTCTATAGGTACTCTGGGTCTCGTATACCAAGACTAAGAGGTTCTTATAGCTACTCGAAAAAATACCTAACATACAATTCATGATCGTTGTATATAGCAAAATGAATGGGGTTCCAGAATAGTGTGCTTGCTTGTCTGTTGGCAAGATTTTTAAGCGATTTTTGCTCCCTATTAAGTTCTGCTCTGTTTAATGAGTAATTGTCCTCAGCTAGTGATTAGTAAGTTATTTTTTAACTTAGACCAGTAACATCAGTGATAAATTCTAATTTGAACTTAAGTTTGATTAGTGCGTGAATGTAATTAAGCTTATTAGGAATGCAACTTAATTCAAGAATGCTCTTTGGACTATCATATTAGTCAAGATTAAGACCCATGCATTCCTCATCAGTTATTATATTCCTCATTTGCAGATTATATAGATTGGAAGTGTCAATCTTGCCACTTATTCAATCAATGATTACATATTCTAATGGCTTGAATGGTTCAGCTTTAGGAATATAGGCTTCCTCTTTTTTCTTACAACAGCAGATACCCATTTTTTAACTTTTTTTTTCAAATTTAATAAAACTTCAAATTTATTTGATATCGTTATTTGAGGGGTTTTGGGGTTTTGGGGTTTTGGGG